GAAATGGATTTTCAAAATGAGGGTGATGTTGCACGAGTTTGGTCAACACCTGTATATATCCCAGGTATTTCCTTTTTTTCATCCCCTCACTTCGGTAGGAAAACACCTCGTCACTTTCGGCTTTTACAACTATTAGCCACGCACTTTCATGCGCCGGATTTTGTTGCTGTATCACGATTGCCCATTCGAATAAAGGAGAAAGTTAATATTCTGTTCCTAAGCTGCGTTCTCTGAACGATCCCATGCACGTGATGAAGTGCATCACTGAACCCACTGTGCATGTGCACTTTTCCCAGGGTTATGCTTTGAAAATTTTGCCTCGATCGTTAAAGCGAATCTTCAAGAAAATTGACGTTTCTTATTTAACTCAGGTCGTTGACCACTAGTTCTATCCTATGCACGTTGATCTCTGATGCACTAATTTCACAACGCGACTTCGGATGAAAATAGAAGTCGTTGCACGATACAGCGCAACTCCAATGTCAGATTACAAAATGAGCTGCTGTGTTTTCATTACCCTGCCTGAAAGGAACTTGTGTGTTGTTCCGTAACCAGCACACCAGTCCAGTCCTAGTTACTCATGTTAATTGGGCTCCATTGACTGTCTTATCGTTTTCTCTCGTGGTAATTCCAGGGTGACAAAGGCAAGTGCGTGGAGTGGAGACTTAGCACCGAAGTCGGGTTCAAGTTAACCGCTAACCTAGTTTAATTACAGCAACTTCTGAATAGTCGTTAATATCTTTAGTAGTCAAACTGAGCTTTCGATTTCGACATATAAGAAATATCGATTATGAAAAGTTCAGTAGCCTCGGTCGGATTCGAACCCATGCATGGACTCCGCCTACGCTTTTGTGCAGTGCTAGCTGAGCTACGAGGCCACACCGATAGTACCGATCAGTACACATTAAAATTACCCATCCAACTTACAGAGGCATATAGCTGACTGCCCTAACAGGTTTTTCTCAGAATTCACCGAAGTTCACCGAATGTTGGGTAATTCGAGTGTGAAAGGATCAGTGCTATCGGTGTGGCCTCGTAGCTCAGCTGGTAGAGCGTGCGCTGTACAAAAGCATGGGTTCGAATCCGACCGAGGTTACTGAACTTCTCACAGTCGACATAAAATCTTCAAATCTGCCAAACAACAATATAAAAAATGTTTAATTTTGGGTTGCAGAACACTTGATGACACGCGATAAGTTCCAACGACTGGGATTACCAGCACTGGTAGGCGATTCCGTCAGATCACTCCAAGCAAGCACCACGCAGAGTAGTAAACCGTACTTAACGTCAAACATACTGGGTCTGCATGGACTGAATACAAATAATGGCCTTCGACAGCTTCAATATGACCGAGGGTGGGAGTCTTGGGTTGCGATTGGTCACCCCTCTTTTGCACCTCGAGAAATGCTCTCGTGTGACTGATGGTCTCAAACAGCCTGGCAAAAGCTGTGCCAAGGAAGCCATACTCACTGCCTTCTCGTGGTAGAGGTGTTTACCCACCAAATAGACAGGACGAAAAACAACAACCGGGGCTGAAATTGAGTCGGTGAAACACTAGCACATCACCTAGAGGAGTTGCCCAAAAACCCTAATTCCAAACTAACCAAGAAGAGGCGTACGAACCGAAGAAACACCAATCTGGCTGTGGCAGTGGTCACCGGCTAGATTGAACATTGAGGCATATTGGACAACTAGAGTGCTTGATCCCATTCAAAGCCGAAATAGTGGACACCTGCCCTTAACCGATTGCGGTTTTCACTCATCTCCCGCTGTCTTGAGGGTCAGACACGACAGTCAGTTGTGAATTCCCCAAGAGAAATGAACTGAACCTCAGGCAAAACACTCCCGTCTGAAGAGCGCACTGTATTAAAAGACTTTATGTTTAAGAATGAATAGCTGTGGTTTGTCTTCCACGGCCGATCTTCTTTCCTAACGTGACCCACCGCCTATGTTTGCTTTTTTAAGTCGTGCGTAAACGCGGGAGTAAAATCAGAGCCAGAGAGTGTAAATCACCTTTTCTTCTTGCTCCTAACTATCATCCAAACACGAGAAGAGATTATTCGATTTATATGATCCATTTGGAAGCAAGTCAACTGATGGTGAACACAAGGAAAAGAACACGAACAATCTTACTCAACCCAGACTGGAAAGACGCATTCACCAGAGAAATAAACAAAACGGAGCCACTACTTACTACTTGTGTCCGTAATCAAGGTGCTGTTAGCCGAATCATGTGAAGTGCTTGCTACGTTATAATCTGCTGTACTGGGCGAAAGGAGCGAATGATGTACTGGCTCAGTTATCCGCGGTGCCGCGTCACCAGGTAAATGCTTCGTGGCGAATTCCAGCTCTAATGTGCTTCGTAAATGTGGTAGAAATTGTATCAATAGAGAGGCGATTGTCTGATGGCGACAGTCCCGTGAGTTTCGTGACTCCGGTCGTCCAGATGAGATGTTATTATTGGAGGCCGGTTCACGAACCGGAATCAACCCGGTCAGTTGACTAGAATCGATCCACACATGGACAGGGTGTTGCTCAGAAGCATTGCAATCGGGACATGGAGATGTGCTACGAAAGACCAGCGGGCCAAGGACAAATGAACGTAGATTACCCTGACGCAAGCAGACCAGTAGGCGTCGTGTGGATTCCAGTAACAAATCAACGGTTGTGATCAGCGCTGAACAGACCAGTGGTAATAAAGTGAACCACAGAAAACCTTGAACGCAATCCAAGCTTTCGCGAAGCACTTGACCATCCGGAGCCAGGACATACGAATGTTGTTCCAAGATGAGCGGTGCGCAGGACAACTCATCCGTAGGATCGCTGATGATATTTGGAGAAAAGATGATCCAAATTTCAATTAAACATTGAACAGAATATTCAGTAAGCAGTGGACAATCGTGTGTTAAAACTGACCACAAAATTTAAGTGGTTTGCGAGCAGACGGCACTGGTTTCTTT